TCGTCTGAGTATTGTCGTATTTAACCCCCCTGTTTCTAAATAATACACTGGTTTGGTTATTCGTTGTTTTTTCAGTTTTGAGCTTTATCTGTTGACTTTCTACCCCTCCCCCACACATAAATATACCCATCCTTTGAATTGCATCATAATTTTGGTTAGATCAATATCAAATTTTATATTTCATGAATATGCAAATGCCATTCAGAGCTAAGCCACGTAGTGAAGCATAATTCATTTTCTCTTCCTGTACAACTTTTTTTTTTTTTTCTGGAGTCAATGTCTGTTTTTTTCCCCTTTGCTTAGTTTTCAATGTACTTAATGATTCAACCCCAAACCTTTCATCAACTGTCTACACCTCCTTTCAGCAGGCTCAGGTATTCTACCAATTTCACCTTCCAAAGAAGAATCTTGGAGTCGTGTCTGGACCTATCATGTTCCTGGTGCAGCAACCATCCCCCTGATCGCCTTTCACTGTCATCCTGGGAAACTGCCTTCCCTTCCTAAGTGGTGTTTCCCACTCTCTGTGTCCGATGTCTTCCTCGTTTTTAGTTTGTTTTTCCTTTCTGTGGGGGACAGAGGGACTGAACAGGCCGAGGGATAGATCGCTTTTCTTATCAACCACAGAAGGCGTCTGCTGTCTTTCCAGGAGCTGTTTTAATAATGGGAGGAAGGGAGGTGGTCAGAGGGGAAGAGGTAGGCCAGGCGTGGGTTACTACTCAGATCAGGAGGGGCGAAGACAGCAGCAAGATGGGGCTTTGAATAAATAGGAGGCCAAGAAAGAAGCAGTGACGGCTGGGAGCACGAAGAAAAGACACACGTGGGTATCCAGGTCAAGTGCTCTAAAACATAAGATGAAAAACCAGAAATACACATGAGTACTTTGGTTATACACGACTTTGTAGTTTTCCGATCCTGTGTCATAGTGTCAGGTTAACATCCTAACGCGTACTTAAGTAAAAGTGAACTAGTTAATCCTGGAGGCTTCTAAGTTATCATTTGGAGGGGTACGGACATGTTCAGTGAGAGAATACTCCAAGCAAGGCCACTTCTCCACAGGTGGAGAAGCCCTATCAGGTGCTGTCATAACGGATATGAATCACAGCAGCCTTTTTAGACAGTTTGTTATATTTCATGCACTGTAATAAACTACTTTAGACACATATCTCATCTACTCCTTACAAAGCCCTGGGAAGTTAGGTGTTTTTAATTCCACTGTACAAATGAAGTAACTGAAGCAACATCTTTCCCAAGGTCACAAAATGGAGGACTTGGGATTCAAACACAGGTCTTCTCACTCCAAAGCCCATGATCTAAATCAATTCACTCTTTGACCCTTTGCCTCTGAATGAAAAAAAAAAAAAATCCCTATTAAAGAAGTTGTTGTGTTTGGAGCACTTCCTCAAGACAGAATCCAAGCTGGGAAAGCATGGTAGGAGTTCCAAGAATGAATCTGATATTCTTACAGAGGAAGCCCCCTTAATTCCAGCTGTGCCTATTTATAGCAAGAGACAGTCTCAAGGCTCATTGCCAGGCTCAGGTCTAGGTTTCCAAAATGAAAGGAATTCCAAAGAAGGAAGAGATGGGCCACAAATACTTATCTGACAGCATTTGGTGCTTTCTAAAATACTGCCCCAAGTCTCCCATATTCCAGGCAAAGCTCTGTGTCCTGAACTGTAATAGATGATAAACTCCCTGAGGGCAGGGGTGTTTCTTTTTTATTTTTATATTCTCAATGTCTAGCACAGCACCTTGCAGAGAGTGGATATAAAATACTTAGCCAGCTTTCCAACTAGATATGTAATTTCTTGTGCATTTATATCCCTTATTAGATGAATTTCCTGAGAATAGGGAATGTTTAAGCTTCAACTTTCTGTGACTTCTTAGTTGTGCAATCTTTACCTCTCTGAACCTTTGTGTCTTTACTTGAAAAAATCAGACTGGCCTTGCAGGACTGAGGCAGTGCTCAGTAAACACAGATGACAGTTTTCTGTCATTCTCTTATTTCACTCAAGTGTTCAATTTCCATGATGAAAAATGGGAAAATAGGTGGCTTTTACCCTTCTTGATAAAAGCCTCTGAAACTACTTAATTTTTCCCTCACTTCATGCCTCCCTTCTGCCAGGCTAGGCCTGGACATTCAAAGACCTTCATGAAGCTGATTAATGAATCAAATTATTAAGTTATTGAATTATTATCTATATAAGGACAAACCTGAAAGTACAGCCCAGGTTTTTTGTGCTCAATTTCCATTATGTTCTTCAAAACCCCAGATGAGTATACGGGATTTGAATGCAAATAAAGAGGAAGAAGGAATTAAGCGGATTTTCTGAAAACTGGGCTTGGTCTTTCACTTTTCAAATGCTCAGCTAGAAATAATCTGAGCATACACACTGGAGAAATGGTGCTATTTCATAATATTCTAGTGCCTTTAAAATGAAACTATCGGGCTTCCCTGGTGGCGCAGTGGTTGAGAGTCCGCCTGCCGATGCAG